ATAGGTATTTTGATAGATTCAGGTAACCCCCCAACATTACGCTAAAGGGAAGGTCAGATGGGTAATATCGGAGCCTATTATCCTAGTAAAAGTGAAAATACTCTTCTCCCGGTGTGACGTAAATCCAGGAGTGGAGAAGTATCGGATTATTTAACACTGATCAATCCGATATGGAGTAGTTGAAATTTGAATTTTACTAACAGGTTTTTGTAGGATAGGAATATTTGGCAAGAGGAGGAACCAGGAATTTTTCAGCCGACTGAAAATATCGAAAAAGTTTATAGGTAAGAAATAAATTGACTCAAACATAAGGGACAAATGATTCCTCATGTTAATTTTATTATGGGGATTTACAGGACGAAAAATATTTCAAACAAATAAGAGGAAGAGATGATTTATCTCTTTAATAATGTTCAGGAAATCCTAATCCAAAACAGAAGTTAATCAACCCAAAAAGGCGAACATTTCTTACCGGATCAATATTGTTTCGGACATTATCGTGGATGGGCGTAATCAAGCAGAACCCCCAGGAAAAGATAATCCCCACCTTTAATTTTATTAAATATATTGAAATAGCAAAGGTAATTACCCCCAACAAGGGACGAAAATTTTCAGCGGGGGTAATTTTATTACGTATATTGATATAGCGGAAATAATTCCCAAAAAGAAAAAAAGGGCGAGTTTTCGACGCGGGTAATTTTATTACATATATTGCTATAGGAGAAATGATTCCAAAGAAAAAAAAAGCGACTTTTCGAAGCGGGTAATTTTATTACATATATTGCAATAACGAAAGTAATTCAAAAAAGAGAAAAAAAAAGAAATTTTCCACGCGGGTAATTTTATTACATATATTGCTATAGCAGAACTAATTCCCAAAAAAAAAAGGCGTATTTTCCCCGCAGGTAATTTTATTAAATATATTGCAGTAGCGGAAATAAATAAGATGGCCAGAAGAAATCAGTGTTTCCTCCGCTTAAGATTGTTGAGAAATTTCACGGGGCAAAAGATAGTTAAAGAAAGAAAGGAGTCAAAATTTTTCCTACGTTTAATTTTATTCCGAACACTCACATAACGGCCAATTAATTGGAGGGAAAAAAGAAGCGAAGAATATTCCGCGCGGAAGATTTTATTCCATAAAATCATTTGCGAAGGAAAATTAAAGCAAAAACAAGACAAACTGATGTTTGACTCGATCAATTGTATTAGCCGCCTCGAAATGGCAACAAGAAATTAACCGAATAGCAAGGAGGCAATTTACCATACGGTTAATTTAATTCCGAAAAATTCCGGGTGCCAGAATGATGAGCAAGAGTTGGAGGGAGTTTTGTGCAGATTTACTTGCGTATGAATTATGCCAGATCCAAGGGAAAATGAAACCGGCGAGGCAGAGCCGCCTGATCACACAGTGTAATCTTATTGCAAATATACCCCAAACAGCCAAATTCAACAAAAATGACCAGACAAATCTCCCGTGCATGTAAATTAATTCCGTAAATTCGGGTGCCAAAGAAATAATAATGCAACCAAGAGATAGCATGTTCAACTCCTTTAAAATCCTTCAGAATAATTATAGGTGGATGTAATATTTTGCACACCAAAAAAGGGAGGGTAGTTTCACATGTGTAATGTCATTCCAGAAATTTTTGTGCAACAAAATAATTGACAGAATCGGAAAAGGACGAATATTCAACCACTTTACTGTCATTCGAAATAATTACCGGTGGAAGTAATATTTTGCACCAAAAAACAGGGAGAATAGTTTCACACAAGTAATGTCATTCCAAAAATGTGTGTGCAAGGAAATAATTGATGAAATGGAAAAGGGACGAATCTTCCACACCATTACTATCATTCGGAATAATTAACAGGGAAGGCAATAATTTGCACCCAAGAAAAAGAAAAATAATTTCACACGTGTAAAGTCATTCCCAAAATGTGTGTGCAAAGAAATAATTGACCAAATCGAAAAGGAACGAATCTTCCAACCCATTACTGTCATTCGGAATAATTACCAAACAGGGACAAATTTTGCCAACAGGAAGAGGAGAGATAATTTCACACGTGTAATATGATTCCCAAAATTTGTGTGCAAGGAAATAATTGAACAAATGGAAAACGAACGAATATTCAACCCCTTTACTGTTATTCGGAATAATTACCAAACGGGGACAAATTTTCCCCACAGGTAAAGAAAAAATAATTTCCCCTCTGTAATGTCATTCCAAAGATGTGTATACAGGGCAATAATTGAAGGAATGGCAGACGTCCCAGTATTCCACCCCTTTAGTGTGATTCGAAATAATCGACAGACGGAGAACAATTTTTCCCACAGGAAAAGGAAAAATAATTTCACAGGTGTAATGCCATTCCAAAAATTTATGTGTGAAGAAATAATTGATCAAATGGCAAGCAACCCAATATTCCACGCCTTTAGTGTCATTCGAAATAATTACAGGATGGGGCAAATTTTGCACACAGGAAGAGGAAAAATCATTCCACTCGTGTAATGTCATTCCAAAAATGTGTGTGCAAGGAAATAATTGATCAAATACCAAATGAGCGAATCTTCCCCCCCTTTACTTTCATTCGAAATAATTAGCAGACAGGGACAAATTTTGCCCACAGGAAAAGGAAAAATAAATTCACACGTGTAATGTCATTCCCAAAATGTGTGTGCAAGGAAATCATTGAACAAATGGAAAAGGAACCAATCTTCCACCCCTTTACTGTCATTCGGAATAATTACAAAACGGTGACAAATTTTCCCCAAAGGAAAAGGAAAAATAATTTCAAACGTGTAATATCATTCCCAAAATGTGTGTGCGAGGAAATAATTGATGGAATCGAGAAACAACAAATGTACCACCCCATTACTGTCATTCCGAATAATTAACAACCGGGGCAAGATTTTTCACCCAACAGAAAAAGAAACTGTTTCCCTCGTGTAATGTCATTCCCAAAATGTGTGTGCCAACAAATAATTGATGGAATAGAAACGGACCAAATGTTCACCCCCTTTACTGTCATTCGGAATAATTACCAGACGGGGACAGATTTTGCCCACAGAAAAAGGAAAAATAATTTCGAACGTGTAATGTCATTCCCAAAATGTGTGTGCAAGGAAATAATTGAACAAATGAAGAAGGAACCAATATTCCACCGTTTGGTGTCATTTTGAATAATTACCGAAAAAGGCAATATTTTGCACCCAAAAACGAAGGGGGATGATTCACTGGTGTAATGTGATTCGAAAACTGAGGTTGCGGAAGAATAATTAGAGGAATCCGAAAACAGTGGATGTCTCCCCCATTTAGTGTCATTCTGAATAATTCCCAGAGGAGGCAATATTTTGCACACACGATCGAAGGAGGATGATTAACTTGGGTAATATGATTAAAAAAATGCGATTGCGGAGACCTAATTAAACAAATCCCAAGACAGTGGATGTTCCCCACCTTTAGTGTCATTCTGAATAATTAACAGAAAAGGGAATATTTTGCACACACGAAAGAAGGGGCATGATTCACTGGTGTAATGTGATTCGAAAAATGCGGTTGCGAAAAAATAATTAAAAACATCCGAAAGAAGCGGATGTTCAACCACTTTAGTGTCATTACGAACAATTACGAGAGAAAGCAATATTTTGCACAAACAATCGAAGGGGGATTATTCACTGGGGTAATGTGATTCCAAAGATGCGGTTGCGGAAAAATAATTAAACCGATCCGAAAACATCGGATGTTCACCCCATTTAGTGTCATTCTGAATAATTACCAGAGAAGGCAATATTTTGCACCCAGACGCAAAAATGTTCCAATCGCGTAACCTCCTAAAAAAAATTCCGTGGCAAAAAAATAGTTAACGTAATGGAAAAGGAAGGGAAATTCAACCCCATTCGTTTCACTAAGAGTAATTACAGTGCGAAAGTAAAGGAAGAAAAAGAAGAAGAGAAATTTTTTCCGCGATTAGTGTAACTCCAAATAATTAGTATGTGTGCGTTATTTTGCACACCAACAACGATGTATGTTGCACTTATGCAACGTCATTCCGAATAATTACCAAGACAACAATATTTTGCAAAAAATAAAAAACAACAGTTTCCCCAATTTAATATCATTCAAATTAATTATCAGTTGAGGGATAATTAACAGCGCAACGAAAAAATTTGTTTAGCCCGATTAGTGTCATTCCGAATAATTACGAAGGAGGAAGTCTTTTGCACAAAAAACAAATTAACTGTTTCCCCCATTCCATGTCATTCCAAATAATAATCAAATAGGAATGATTTAGGAGACGAAGAAGAAAAGGTATTTACCCTGATTAGTGTCATCACAATTCCTTTTCCCCAGAATAATCTTTAGCCCCTTTGAAAGAAGGAAGGTTTAACCCGATTAGTGTTATTTAAACTCTTCCAATAGCAAGAAGTAATGAGTCCGAAGAAGGAAATTACAACTACCTCTTCCAGAAAGCCTAGAAAGCCAAGAAATTCGCAAAAGAAAAATCGACTCCCAAAACTAACAAGGAATGAATTGAGCAGTATGATGTGTATCCAAGTAACAAAAGAGGGTCTTCAACTCAAACAACCAGAGATTACCTTCCCTTTCCCAATGTGGCTGGATCAAAAAGAACAGGAAAAAGTATCTGACCAAGTAACAAAAGATCAAATCTCCCCCTCGAAGGTTAGTGAAAATAATTGTCAGGAAGAAATTGAAAAGAACAAGAGTAATGAATCCTTCAATTCCTCTGATGCGAAAAATTTGACAAGAATTGGTTACTGCCTCTAGGAAAGGAGAAGGTATATCCCCCGAGAACTATTATTCGAAGAAGTTAGAAGGAGGCCTTTGGCACGATGAAAGGAAGCAGAGAATGTATTCTCCTCGTACGTTTATTCTAGAATTCTCCCAAAGAGTCATTAATTATCCTAAGAGGAAGAGGCAGGATAGGATTTATTATGTTGCATATTTTATTGACATCGGACAGCCTGAACCCTCTTAAGAGTAGGCTGACGACTAATGTCCTAAGAAGAACGCCTTCTAGAAGGGTACATGCTGTCTGATTTTTTACAAATGGTGACTGATTTTATAGTGACCTCATAACGTATACCTCTACATTACAGTGATCATTTTTTAATTGTGTCGAATGTTTGTCCATATGAATAGATATTTCGTTATGCATGTTTTAAACAACTAAAAAACCAACTTCTTCCGTGAAAATATGTTCACAAATACTAAAACATTGGATGACATCTAGGAGTCTGATAATGATGCATCCGGTCTTATATAAACAACGTACGATAGGGTTCAGGTATACATATAAGGTTTAGGGTTGAAGAATAATCGCTACTATTATAACCTCCGTCCCAACACTCTGAGTACCGTCATTTACAAAGTTCAACAGAACACCAAGTATGCAACTGAGTGCCCCAAGGGGTTACCACCCCCCTAGGATGGCGTTCCTCCCATAGATTAGTTCTGCCTCGAACAATATGTAATGTGTTCTAGTGAGTCCAGATTTAGTCTACATTGTGTTAGAATGTGTACCATCTTCCGTTTTATGAGTCTATTTTTGTGTCCATTATTAGTGAATCCCCCACTGTATGGTTATTAGAGGACTTAGATTGACCCAAGTTAGACAGTCAATAGAACCCTTCTAACATCATAATTAGATGTGGGAATGGACTTAGAAAAGGACGAATTGATCTATGAGTCAATCTATAGAATCCAACAACTTTGACATCATCCATGTTGGGATGTTCCTTCCTTCTAAGGCGTGGTACCAACAGAATGACCCTTTCACAACCAAGAAGGGGTCCAATTTCGGACTTAGAGGGGTTGTCATTTTATCATCTAGGATTGATCTGTCGAACCGGAAAATAGGAGAACCACCACCTGAAAGGGTGTCTTCTTCCTTAGTAAGGTGAAGCAAGCCCCCCCATTAGGGTGTTGTCTTATAAGTAGGTTATAAGAGTACCCCCTTAGAAGGGGTAAACTGGAACAATCATTTCATTAACCCTTAGATTTGTTCTATGTTTCGATCTACATTTATTAGTACCGTCATGGAAGTGTGTTATCAGGAAAAAGTTATTTGTGTCAAAGTTGAAGTGACCATTATATCGACCCCACCAACCAGTATGAATAGTAAAGGGGGACTGGCATGACAACCATGGATTAGACAACATGAAGAGTTGTCTTTTGTCGGAAAATTGGATGAACCCCGGATTTAGATTGACACTTCCAGTGGTTGTATTGGAATGGCATTTGTGTGAATTAAACAGCAACATATAACATCAACCTATATAAGGAATGAGTAGGCAGTAGACAGAATATGTACCCTAAAAAAGGGTGTTTCCAATAAGGACTGGCCCCATGAATTAGGAAAGAATAACCTTAAAGAGGATGTTAGGAAGAGTCATTTAGGACTCCCCCTGTCTATAGTGGTGTGATTAAGCGAAAATTAGGAAGTTTTCTGACAATCCATTTTTGACCCCCCCAAGGAGCACCACAACCTAAGTCGTGGTATTAGATTGACCATCAGGGGGGTCAAAAAAAAAAGTTTTGGAATTCCGGTTTAGAAAGGTTGAATCATCATTAGACACGTATATTATGAGTTTTTATACTGGTTTCGAAGTGATATCTGGATTAGGTGGGAAAATTTGAAAGGGTCATAACATCGTCCTATATTAGGGGAGGGGGACCATGATGAAGGAATCAACCCTCGACTAACGGGATTTACCATGACAAGGATGAGTAATGTCATCATGAATTAGTGAATCGGATGGAAGAATTGTTCTAATTCCGGATTTAGAGTTGTCTTTTGTTTATTGTTTAATGAATCATCCATTATTAGAAATTGTCCATCAGAAGTAGGATCAAGCAGCAAGAGGAAGGGAGTCTTCCTTTGATAAGAGATGACATCATCCTACATTATCATACTGCTACAGATTAGTTCTAGTGTGCAAT